ACAGCCACCATGTATTTTCCCTTGGTGCTCAGGTAGGTGGGCACAAAGGAGACCCAGACGCTGCAGAAGACTAGCATGCTGAAGGTGATCAGCTTGGCTTTGTTGAAGGCCCCAGGCAGGTTCCTGGCCAGGAAAGCCACCATGAAGCAGATGGCAGCCAGGAAGCCCATGTAGCCAAGGGCCCCATAAAACATGGTCAGAGAGCCTTCATTGCACTGCAAGACAATCTTTCCTGGCTGGGAGTGCATGTCAGACTCAGGAAATGGGGGAGAAACTCCCAGCCAGATGGTACAGATGAAAGCTTGGAGACCAGAGCAAGAAAGGACAAGAGAGTGGGCCAGAGTCTTTCCCAGCCATCTCCTCGTGGTGTTTCCAGGTTTCGTGGCCAGGAAGGCCAGCACCACCGTGATCGTTTTGGCTAAGAGGGAAGAGACAGCAATGGAGAAGATGACACCGAAGGACGTTTGCCTGAGAAGGCAGGTAGCTGGCCTTGGACGACCAATAAAGAGAAGGGAAGTCAAGAAGGAAAGCAGGAGAGAGAGCAGGAGGATGTAGGAGAGGCCCCGGTTGTTGGCCTTGATGATGGGAGTTTCCAAGAATTTGATGAAGATTGCTAACACAAAGGCTGTCACCAGAGACAAGAAGAGGGCCAAGGAAGCCAGGATCATCCCCAAGTCTTCTTTGTAAGACAGGAAGGTTATCTCCTTGGGGATGCATTTGGTTTGGTCCAAATTTGGATGGTGATCTTCTGGACACCTTGTGCACTGCTCTGCATCTGGAGAGAAAACAGTCAAGACCTCTAATATTAATTTGACCAGGCCATAATGAAGCACTCCTTTTGAAGATGCATATAATCAGTTACGGGTAGGGTATTGTGCCTCAAAATCCAGGTCTGTCAAAAGAGAAGGTTTTGCTGAAAATTCCCTAGTAGGGATGAGGAAGGAGAACAGGCAAGATCAACAAAATGATGGGTTGAGTGAAGTCAGGAGCAGAAACAGGCTGGCTGGAGGGGAGAGAAATGTCCCAAGGA